ACATTTAATCTTCTTAAAATTTTTGTTCTCTAAACTGTATTTTATAGATAACCTTGTTTTTTTCTTTATTTTTAATATCGTAACGATGAATATATTGTTGTATATACTCCTGTCAATGTGAAATCAATAAAGAATTTGATCTGTTGTCAAATTTATTGTCTATCGTAATATCTAAGTATTATTCATATAAAAGAATAAATTCGTCAAGCCCTCGTTTAATAAATCGTTAATTTCACTAATAAGATTGTTATGGCTTAATGGAGTAAATAGTAAATAATCTGTGTCCAAATTTTCAAACTTTATATCTATTAAAGTTGAGTAAATAATTGCGAGTTGAAGTAGAAAAAATTTCGGTACATTATGAGTTCTCAAACGTATAAATACTATTGTATCGCATAAAATTTCTGCGCGACGTCTTTGTAACAATATCCGACTGGACGTGTCTTTTTCAAACAATGCCATATATTTATACGCTTTACAGATGTCTAATACAATATTTTCGTATATTTTTATATCCCCCTTATTAAAAACTATCCCCATACCGTACAATAAATTAAGAATTCTACTAAATATTTGCTGGGCATTATTATAATCTGAGATGTATTCAGACATTACCATTTTGAACTCACGAGGAACTAAATACTCATTTTCTACTCCGGAAAATAATAGTAATTCCTGCAAAAATTGGTCTTTTGACTTTGTAAAATCTTCTAATTTTAAATTGTCGGAAACGTTGTCTCTTTTTAACGATAGCAATCGTTCCGCTGATTTACGGAAAAGCGTAATTGCATGCTTAACCTGATAACGAGCAAATAAGGGAACCATAGCTATACTCTGATTACACCACTCGCATACTTTGATGAAAGTTTCTTTTTTCCTGATACAGTTACATTTTCTATCAAAGTAGATTACTCTCAGATAAATTGCAACAGTGAAATAATATTGGGCTTCTTTAAAACAGTTGTACATTAATAAATGATAACATAATGTTATTGCTCGATCAATCCACTTAAAATATGTTTTCGTTTGCGGTAATCTATGCCATTCAGCAACTAAAAGAAAATGAATGGACATTATTAGGCTCGGGTTGTTTCTTGGCTTAATATCCGTATGCACCTGTACTAATGAAGTTAAAATTATTATATACATATTCTTTAGCGCCTCTTGATGACGTAGCGGTATACGTGACTTAACAACAATGTCTTTAAAATCAATAAGAGAATGATTTTCATCATTTGTATATGCAAAATATAAGCTTATAGCTTTATCATACATATGTATCGTTTCTTTTGGTTTGTTTAGTTTATCATAAAGAAAGCCTAAACCGTAATGGGCTTTCAAACCTAGCAAAATAAATTTTGGATCCAGCTCTTTATCTTTCATTAAATCCAAACAATGCAGAATAAAATTTTTAGCTATAGATAGTTCTTTCTTCTGATCGGACAAAATATATGCGTTACATACATTATAATAAGCTGTTGCAAGAGTTACAGTATCATCCAGGTCTGTGATCTTTGAGTAGATTATTTTATAAAACAGCTTACTCATCTTACTTTCCATTATTTTGATTTGCGTGTTGCTAAATTCTTTTCGATTTTTATAAAATTTAAATGACAATCCGTAAATTTGAAGGAATTGTTCGCTGGGTTTTAATATGATTTCGAGATTCCTAAAGCTCTCGATCAACCCCATCTTTATAACTAAACAAATCAATGTTAAAAAATTATATACCATGTGATGCATGATTGTTGAACATATATGTTCATACATATATATGTTCCACATAATATATTTCTGTATTACCTGACTCGCATTTCATTTTGCCAATCTCACTGGCAGACATCCTTTCCAAGCAATAAGTTGACAACAGATTCGAATAACAATTTATTGTGTTTATCAAGTTCTGTAATTAATGTTGTTGTCCTTCTTAAATGTATTTATGGTCCGAATTCCGTAATAAACGCTAATAATTCAAAATTATTGTTATACGTAGTAACTTTACACTTATTAGTTACTTATTAGTTACTTACATTAGTGGTAAGTGATTTCCACGAATATCCTCAGGCAATAATCTATTTTATAAATAATAATATTCCACGTTTTTATAGCAGCCCAGGATCAGTCTACTTATAACCGTCGTTTACGTTTACATATGAAGATACGCTAAATATTTGTTTGGATATTTGAAAATAGAAGATTGCTTAACCTACAGTTGAAAGAAATTTGATTGAAATGCAAAGGAAATAAGCAAGTCGCAAACATTAAAGAAAAATTATTATCCTAGTTAGTTAAAACGAAGAAATAAAATTATTAGAACAAACATTACTGTTATCGGTAATTGAAACGACAATAAATTGCTGTTAAATTTCAATTATAAGTCAAAGGAATGAATATTTTATGCGTACGGTGGAGAAAGAGGAATGGTAAAGAAAAAGAAGAAAAGTAGAACAAAGCAGACAAAAATTAAAAGGAGAAATTAGAGAAGAAGATATAAGAAAATAAGTCAGTAAAATATTCTGATTCATTATATATTTTATTTTATTTGCACTTAAATCATTAAAATTTCTTACACTTTCCTTTGTCCATATACATACAAAAATCTCCTTTTCTCTTATAAACGATGCAAAATGAAGCAAAGTAGTCGATATGCGCACTTTTACAAGTTTGTTATTAGTTAAAAAATGCGTAGACCGAAATAAATAAAAATTGTTCGAAGGAATTTGGTCTGTTGTCAAATTCATTATCTATATCGAAATTATCGCGTAAGATTCCATATATAAAATTAAATTTATTAAGACCACCTCTAATAATTCGGCAATTTCAACGAAGATTGCTCGATGAAAAATTTTCCATGCGTAATTATATATAAAATTTGTCCATACATAATTATGTATAATTATATATAACATATTAAATTATATATAATTAAACACAATTATTCATAATTATATATATATATATATATATATATATATATATATATATATATATATATATATATATATATATATATATATATATATATAT